AACCAAGCTAGTAGCTATGAATTCAATCCAAGTCTCCTGCTTGGGAAGTAAGGACCCAATTACCTGAGCTGTCACTACTGCCCTTTAGAGTATGTAATAGCAGGGAGAATGAGTCAGAAGCTGGAGCTAGGTATGAAACCTAGGCATATTGATACGAAACACGGACATTAACTGCAAGGCCTAATGCCCACCACTAATTACATTTTTGAGAGAATTATTGTCATAAAAAATCCAAAATGAATAAATAATACTGGTAATTTAAGATTTAAAGGTTTTTATATCTATGGGCAAGAAACATGCCATAAGTGAACTTTTGCCTTTGAGGACAGCATATTTTGAAAACTCTTTATCAAGCAATACCAGCATAGATAATAAAAAAGAAGTTCCAAAAGGAAGGGCAGAAAACTTGGAGAGCAATGGGCTGAGGTTCTGCCAGGGGTTCAGGCCTCATTAAAAAAGGTTTCCCATTGTTAAAGAATAGGCCACTGATCACCAAGAAGGAAAAATCCTGCAGATACTTCAGCAGTCTCATAGAAAAGGAATCACAAATTTCAGGGTTTGAGTGATTCATGGACACTTTTTGGGTCATGATAAACATCAAATTCTGCATATCTGCAAGATATAGTAAAAAATAGAAAGAGTTTTCATTCATTCTCACTTGCTGAGACTAGAAAGACCCTCCAGGGGAAAAAGCCTCCTTAACAAGACATCACAGTTAAAGCCCTGGAGAATCAGTGATGTCTAAGGTGATACCAAGTGATATGACAAATATGTCACTGCAGACTTCAGTGGGATGTGGGCTAAGAAAACATGTGAAGCAAAAGCTAAACATTGTACTGGGGCAACATTGTGGCACAGAGGGTTAAGCCACCACCTGGAATGCTGGCATCCCATATGGGTGCCGGCTGGAGTTCTAGCTGCTCCACTTCTGATCCTGCTACCTATTAATGTACCTGGGAAAACAGAAGATGTTGAATATTTCCCCTGCAACTCATGTGGAAGACCCAGATGGAGTTCCAGATGCCTGATTTCAGCCTGATCTAGCCCTGGCTGTTGTAGACATTTAGATTTATTTATTTCAAAGGTAGAGTGACAGAGAAGAGATCTTCCATCTCCTCACTACTCCACCAAATTGGTACAATAGTCACAGCTGGGCTAGGTCAAACCAAGAACCAGGAACTCTATAGTTCTCCTAAGTGTATGAGAGGGGCCCAACCACTTGAGTCATCTGTTGCCGCTTTCCTAGGTGCATTAACAAGGAGCTGGATTGGAAGTGGAGCAGCCAAGACTTAAACTTATTGGACAGTGGCCTTCCTTCTGGGGAACCTAAGAGTATGCCAAGTTTTTGTAATACATCATTTGTAATATACTGGGTAAAATTCAGAACCACTGTGCATGTAAACAAATAGAAAATGTGACTCATACTTAAAGGGAAAAATCACTAGAAGCAAACCTAACTAAAACCATATGTTCCATGTAATAGACAAGATGATTATGACATTATAAATATTTTCAAGTATTTAAAGGAAATATAAATATGCTATGTTTTATTTAATTGTTAAATCTTTTTCTACTTTCATTTAGTTAAACAGCAAGATGACAAAGAGACAGAAGGAAATATCTTTCATCCAGGGGTTCACTCATCAATTTCCCACAAAAGTCATAGCCAGGCCAAATCTAGGAGCCTGCAACTCCACCTGGATTTCTCATGTAGGGGGCAGAGACCGAAGCAATTGGGCCATTATCCACTGCCTCCCAGGATGCATTAACAGGAAGCTGGATTGGAAGCAGAGTAGCCAGGACTGAACCCAGGCATCTGATACAGAATATGGGTGTCAAAAATAATAGCTTAACCTGGTGCATGGCAACGTCTGTTCATTATAACAATATACCAAACATTAAATGGGGACTATCAGTATAGAAAAAATTGGGAAAAAAATAGAGGAAATTCTAAAGTTGTAAAATACACTAACTAAAAGGAAATGTCTAAATAAAGATGTATTTTTATTTATTTAGAAATGCATAGTTACATAAAGAGGGAGAGAGAAGGGCAGAAGGAAAGAAACAGTGAGTGAGGGAGAGAAGAGAGAGGAAGAGAGAGATCTTCCATCCACTAGTTTATTCCCCAAGTGGTCACAATCGCTGGGAGCTGGGACAGGCCAAAACTAGGAGCCTAGAACTCCATCAGGTTTTCCCATATGGGTTTTAGGGGTCCAAGCACTTGGATCATCTTCTACTGCCTTCCTGGGTACATTAGTAAGGAGCTAGATCAGAAGTGGAACAACCAGGACTTGAACCAGCACTCATATGGGATATCAACATTGCAGACAGTGGCCTAATCCATTGCACCATAAAGCCAGCCCCTGAAAGGAAATTTACTAATGTGCTTAATATAAGATGGAAAAGAGCAAAAGAAAGCATTGAAACTTTAAGAGATCCATTGATATTTTCAAGTCTCTATGAGAGGGAGAAGAGAAATGGAAAGAGATTTAATAATTAGTGTGGCAATTTAGAATGCAATCCAGCATCTCGGAACTGGATCTTAGGAAGACAGAGGAAGAAAGGATGGAGGGGAAAATATGTGTTTAGAAACAATGGTAAAACCTTCCAAATTTTTTGAAAGACCTCCATTTATAGATTCAAGTTGCTCAACAAACCCTAATCAGAAGGGATACAAGAAAACTATTCAAGACAAATCATAATCAAACCAATGTAATCTAAAGATGAAGAGAAGAACTTGAAAGTGGCCAAAGGAAAAACGGCACATGGCACAGTGAGATATAACCAGGTATGCATAACAGCTAGTTCTCCTCACACACCACGACACCAACATCCAGTACCCAATCTGTCTCATAGAACTCACTGTCCCTAGAAACTAAGTCTTGTGTAAATTTCTGTTAACTCAAAGCAGGAGTGCTAAGCCAGCTGCACTGTGCAGGCAATGAAATGTCACTTGCTAAACAGACACCAAGAACTCCCACAAATAGCCACATAGTTGGATTTGGATGACACTTCACAAGTTCTCTGAGAATTCGGCAGCATTCACTAGTACAGTCGCTATGCTCATCTCACAGGTGGGCAAACTGATGTTATATGAATCAGTAGAAGGATGTCTCAGTGGCAGAACCAGAAAGTTGACTCACACCGCACACCTCCCAGCTCGTGCTACCTACCCCATAACCACCCTAGATTGACCACCACATTCAGGGAGCTGCTTCTACCTCTTGAATTCCTAGAAGCACACACTAGTCTCTGGTACTGCACAATCCTTTGACAAAGTAATCTTTTAAATCACAACGTTATTCTCTCCTCCGTCCTTGGCCCTGAGGACCCGATGTTATTTTCCCTCTGGAACAGGGCAGGTGAGCGGTCACACCTACAGGTGGTGGCGCTACCTGAGATCCGCCGCTGTTTCTGCATTCAGCACACGGGGAGCACCTACTCCCTTCCTAGCATCCCCCAAAGCCCACTGGGCCCCTCTTTCTCTCTTACTAACCTTCAAGAACACCGAAACCAACCGCAGAGCCTGTGGATCAGCACCAGTAGAGATACAAAGTCTGGAATCTGCAGAGGAAGATGGCGGAAGTGGGAGGGGCCGGGCGCAGTGACGTCATTGAGGGAGACTGCATTTCCCACCAGACGGAGCATCAATTCATTAAGAGGAGCCCAGTGGGCTTTGGGGGATGCTACCAGAATTCACAGCCTGAGGCACTGTAGGAGTAATGGGAAAATAGATGATATTCATAAGTAAATTTGTATTTTAGTTCTGATATACATCTAGCAGTTAATAAATTTCTCATCCATTTCTTACAGATTCATTGCAAAGCATAAAAAACTCCATCATACTTCATTTTGTTAGGAAATAACAAATTTATATGATAATGCTTTAAAGTATTTGTTCTCATCCAGTAAACTAATTTGTGAGTCTTCATGGGAATATGTTACTAACTGGGAAACACTGCTTTAGGGTATCTAGTAAAATAAAAGTAGAGTCAGTGCTCCATAATTTTGTGCCAAATTAAACTCCAATATCTGACCACTATTTGCCCAGAAAACATTAAGTTTTATTTATGTATGTATTTGTCTATCATCTATATACCTGTCTATCAAATAATTTATTGTTTTTTTGGGAGGAGGGGTATAATGGATCCAAACTTTAGTTTTCTTTCCCTGGGTTATGCCACAATATAGGCAAGGAGTTTTGCACAGTGGAGTTTGGCACAATGGTTACTCAGAGCTCCCACTACACACTGAGTTTCCTCCTCAAACAGGAAAATTCTTGGCTTGAGTGATCAGATTTGAATATAGGCTTGAGTGGTAGATTAGAGGGTGGGGTAAAAGGAGTGCAAAATTTAGGGTGAATGTATCAGGGTGTGACAGGCTTGACTCTGGCACCAGACCTAACCTTGATTTTCTCTTTTTATGTTGTATGCTCTGCCTTGTTCAAACTCCAATGTCCTCTCCGGTCCTGTAATTGTCCCTCAGTGATTCTATTCTGAAGATCCAGACAATCGAGCCCTTTTCTTCCCATAGTCCTCTTGCTTCAGACTGTGAAATTCTTAATCTCCTTCCCAGAGCCCTGGACCTCAGAGGTCCCTCTGAAACAGCTGTTGATGTGATATCTCCAGATGCTTACATATCTGGTGGTTGATAGGAAGTCCTGTATCCATGAAAACGGAGAATCAGTGTAAATTTGATTGTGTAGGGACCACATCTAATAATAAAAAGATAAGTAACTCAATCCATTTTTACCCCTAGAAAGGTAAAGACCCTAGAAAACACCCACTTGTTTTCAGCAGGATGTATTGACATTTTCATTGTACAAGTTCATATTTCTTTCATCAAAGTTACTCCTGAGCATTTTACTTTTGATTCTGTTCTAACCAAAATTGTTTCCTTATGTTCACTCTTGGATTGTTCATTTGTTATGGACAGAAATTAAATAGGTTTTTAAAATTAAAACTGGTATATTGATTTCATATCCTGTTACTTTCCTAAACTCACTTATTAACTTCAATACTTTTAATGAATATTATGACATTCTAAATGTAAGATCATACTATCTTTGAATAAAGACGACTCTACTTCTTCTTCTCCAATCCAGACACCATTACTGCAGCCAGATCATTCTGGTTAGATTCTCCTGTAAAATGATAAGCAAATGTGATAAGAGTGGATGCTTTATTTTATATTATCTACATAAACATATAGGATTTAATAATTAAGTATGTTGGCTGTGTGACTTTCCTATTTTCATTATAAGTTAAAGAATATTCATTTCAATTTCTAAGAGAAGAAAGTAGATAAGTATGCAGCTTTACTGCCTTTTATGCTTTGTATACTTTACTGCTACCATGTGCTTTTTTGTATGAATTTTAATTACAAATTAAAAGAAGACACTTTTGCATTGATTATAAAGAATGTCTGTCAGCAATAAATTCCATCAGTTTTGTTAAGTTAGGTACACTTCTGATTTTGGAAGTCAGCTGTGTTGTATATGTGATTCTTCATTGATTTTTCTTTTTTTGACATTAAGTTATCCCAGTTCTTTCTCACCAGTATTCTTTCTTTTTTTTTTTTTAAACTGAAGGCAGGAATCTTATCCAATTTTTTATTTTTTTAATATTTTATTTATTTGAGAAGTAGAGTTACAGATAGAGGAGGAGACAAAGAGAGAGGGTTTCCACCCACTGGTTTACTCACCAAATGGCTGCAACAGCCAGAGCTGTGCTGATCCAAACCAAGGAGCCAGGAACCAGGAGCCAGGAGCTTTCTCTGGATCTCCCACAAGGGTGCATGGACCCAAGCTCTTGGGGCATCCTTTACTGCTTTCCCAGGCCATAGCAGAGAGCTGGATCACAAGAGGAGAAGGCAGGACACGAATCAGAGTCTATATGTGATGCCAGCACTGCAGGTGGAGGCTTAGCCTACTACACCTTAGTGCCAGCCCCATTGATCAGTATTATTTCTGCTGAAGAGTCAACTACTAATTATACTGGTGTCTTGCTTGAAAGGATCCTTTGGAAAATAAAAGAGGTTCATTTATTTCTCTCTTTGCTTTCAGTAGTTCCTTGTCACTAACTTTTGGCATCTTTGCTTTGAGTTGTCCGTAGATCTTTTTGTATTTACTGTATTTGAATTGCATTGAATTCCAAGTACTAGTGAAACTTCACTAATTATATGGCATTGGTTCTATTTCTAATGACTTTAAGTGGTGGGTTTTTAAATAATTTGGAGTTATTTTCTATTAGTTTTCAGGTATAGATATCTTGAGCTCTTCACACTGCCATTCTGTAAGATGCTCCAGGAATCATGACTTTAAAGATTGCATCCTGAGCGATGGGTGAACCCTCCTTGAGATGATGAGAGATGCAGAGAGAACAGCAGAATGCAGTAAATCCACAATCTTGAATACCAAGTGACTAGACACAAATGAACCCAGACAGAGATCAGTGGAGAGAGCTAAGTATAGATGGTGAGAAATATTTTCAAGCCCAGTTGAAAGAGCTTGGCCGCTTTTTCCACTGGGCTCTTGAAGCATTTGGTAGTGCTGCAGAGCCCTTGATTATCATCATCATTTCCAGCTAATCATACTTGTCTCTCTGCCACACACTACAAGAGGCACACTGTATTTAGTAGCATACTTTGGGATTGCTCTTTATCTCATGATCTCTTCTTTCTAGGATGCAAGTCAGTAAGTTTCTGTGGCTGCATCTCTGTGAGCCACTATTTCATTTCAACTCAGCACATCTCCCATTCCTTTCTGTGTGGTCCAGAGAGCTGGGACAATAAGACTAACCAGATTCAACTATGTTATTCAACATTTCAAAAATAATATCCTTTTCTCAATGGCTACACAGAAGAGAATGCATGAATATCTTATGAATGCTCCACCCAGAGTACATTATTTAATAAATACTGATATTTTCATGCTTTGTTTAGAAGTAATTCATTGACCAGTGCATTGGAAGCTGGAAATGTGAGAGCAGGTAAGATGTTGAGAACCATGGTTTCAATACCTTTCATGGATCCACTCTATGATAGGAGATGTTGGTAATCCCAAAGCCATCTATCACTCTGTCCCAAGCCTCTTATTAGATTCAAAAGAAGCTCCAGTGAAAGATAAATAACCCAGATGTTATCTACTTGATGAGGACAGATTTTTAATTAGTAAAATAGCACTGTACTAGAAAATATGAAGATGTGAGCAGAAGTGTTTACATAAATGATTTGGGATTTTAGAAAGACAATGAGAACTAAAAGATGAACCAGTGTCTTAGTAGAGTCAGGAATGTGCAAAATTAAAAAGTATGAAGGGTGTGGGTCCATGTAAAACCAACTTATGTTAACCATTGGGTCTGTATAGAAATGAGACTCCTGTGTTCCCATGAAGGCTATGAGCTTCTACAAGTTTCAATTTGCTCAGTTCAATGGGTGACAGTGTAACAGGTATAAAACAAGATAAGCCAACAATTTTTAGTACTTAAATTTAAAGCTGAGAAGCTAATAATTCAGAGTTGGACTCCTTGCTTCTACTTACCACTGTGCTTAGTCACAAATTTCCTTGCTGCCAATCTCAACTTCTTTTCCAGAGCAGGGAAACCTGGTCAGGTTAGATCTAACTCACTGTGCAGTTCAGCCACACCAGTCAAATGGAACCTGAAGGGGGGTGTGAGAACGAAAAGAGGGACAAGGGCACAGAGAATGGAGCCAAGACAAATGAACTGATCAAGGCTCATTTATTTCAGCGTCTCAGAGATATTTATACATAACCAGCTGCAGCTCAAGGCAACACAGAAGTTAACAACATATGCAAGCAACTTATCAGGCTTTCTGCAACAGTCATAACATAGTTAATTTTAACAGAGTGCTCTTGTTTAATCATTCTTCAACATGGGAGTAGTGACTTTCTCATCCCAGGAATTCCACAAGCCAAGATTGACCTTGACTTGTCCATGACTTGTCTATGGGATGCCTTCAACTCACCACCTGTGGCCCTCAAGAGCCACATGATGAAACAGAAGAAATACATTTTCATTGATCTGATGATAAGCCATGGTACCTACACCAGAGATTTGGTGCAGTTTCATGATTTTGCCATGTCAGTACCTTTTCCTTGTAGCTCCTTTATAATTCCCCCAAACATCCTTATCTCAAAGAGCAGTAGTCTTTGAGACTGATATCTGTTATACTCTCATCTGTCAACAGATTAAATGTTCTCTTTCCTTTATTCCATAGTCTGGCCTTATCATTTTGACTAACACCAGGGACAATGACTGATCTTCAACTAACAAATTTTGGTGACCATAGCAGGGCTGCTCCTACCCTTGGTGATGTGCCCTCCACTACTGGCTTAGCTGTTAGAGTGGTGAATGCCATCATGAAAAGTGTTGCAGCCTCTTCTTGTAGAGCTTCCACCTCCTGGGGAAAACAGGTAGTCTCAGCACCCACTCAAGTCACTTTTCACTCCAGGTAAACAGTGTTTTCTCTCCCTGCAAAGATGTGGTGAACCTGTTTGGGGAAAGGAAATAGATTCCAAAAAGGCAACCTCAGACTGACCAGCTGGTTATTTGGGAAGTCCTCAGACCACTTTTTTTTAATTTGAGAGGTAGAGTTATAGACAGTGAGAGAGAGAGAGACAGAGAGAAAGGTCTTCCCTCCATTGGTTCACTCCCCAAATGGCCGCTATGGCTGGTACTGCACCAATCTGAAGCCAGGAGCCAGGTGCTTCTTCCTGGTCTCCCATGTGGGCACAGGGGCCCAAGCACTAGGGCCATCCTCCACTGCCCTTCTGGGCCACAGGACACAGCTGGACTGGAAGAGGAGCAACTGGGACTAGAACCTGGTGCCCACATGGGATGCTGGCACTGCAAGTGGAGGATTAGCCAAGTAAGCCACGGTGCTGGCCCCTAGACCACTTTTAAAACCTCTTTTTCCTTAAATATGGCAAAAAGTTATTTTGACACTGATTCCTGGTTATCAAATACTTCTCTTCCATTGTGTGACTAGATCAAAAGCCTGGTCAAATCCAACATGGCAGTGAGGGACAGATAAAACATGATTGACCAGCTATGTTTTCATAAATATATCTTGATCACACAGAAAGAAGAATAATGAAGATACAGTCACTGGTGTCAATGCTAAACCAAATTCGATAAAGCTGAGAGGTTGTAAAGGAATGGTTTTTATGTGTGGTCACCTGATAGTAATTGTCACAAAAGACTCTGCTAAAGTTACACCCTAGAGAGAGGACCCCCATTTCAAATAAAAAGAGATGCTAACTATGGGGCCCGTGCTGTGCATAGTAGGCTAAGCCTCTGCCTATAGCACTGGCATCCCATATGGGCACCAGTTCATGTCCAGCTGCTCCTCTTCACAGCCAGCTTTCTGGTATGTTCTGGGAAAGCAGTAGAAGATGACCCCAGTGCTTGGGCCCCTGCACCCCTGTGGGAGACCTGGAAGAAGCTTCTGGATCCTTGATTCAGATCTGCCCAGCTCCAGTCATTGTGGCCATTTGGGGAGTGAACCAGCAGATGGAAGACCTTTCTGTCTCTCTCTCTCTCTCTGTAACTCTACCCATCAAATAAATAAACACAATCATTCAAAAAAAAATAGAGATGCTAACTACATGTGATGCTAGTCATTCTCAAATCTAATGCTAAAATCTGTATGCAATATACACAGAGAGGTGCTGAGGAAGCAAGTCCTCCAGACCAGGGCTGAAATCTAGTGCAGAACAAGCATTAAGGAACCCAGCTGGAGTTTGGTAAATTAGAGAACCTGATCATTCACAGGATAGATGAAGCATGCACAATTTGTTTACACAAAGTGGAGGCCAAAGCACTTATCTTAGGCATAAATAAACCTCTCTAGAAATGTGCCTTCTCTAAACTTGTAAAGGGAGAAAAGGCAATCCTAACCACTATTTTATTACCATTTCTCTCTTAGCACATTGGTAACACCTTTGCTATGTCTGCCCTCAGTTGAACTTCAGTTTTACCTCAATGCACCTGCCTGAGAATTACATAAGAAGGAGAATGTGGGAAGGAAGCAGGTGGAACAGAGTCCAAGAGCCCTACAGCTAGAAGGAAGAGAAAGTAATGGAGGAATGAAGAACCCTTGAGGGCTTTTTTTCCAGCCTGCACCATGTTTCATCAAGACTACATGTTACTGCACCATGGAAGAGTGAGGAAAAAATTCCTTTTCCAGATGGAGGCATTGAGAGAGTTTGGGTGGAAATGATGGAAGAAAATAGAAAGCTCTTTGTAAGAGTGGAGACAGGACTTATTGTTGGGCTTATGAATGGGCCTTATTGTTCATTCTCAGGCACCTGAGGCAACACTCTCCTTGACTCATTATCAGCAATTACTCAGAGTGATCCTAACTCCTATTTAACAATCTTATGGAGGTAGACTTGTTTGCTGGGAAAACAGCATAAAATCACCCAAGTATTGGGCCCGTATTACCCATATGGTGGACCCAGATGGAGTTCCTGGTTCCTGGCTTCAGCTTGGCTCAGCCCCACCTGTGTGGCCATTTGAGAAGTGAACTATTGAAAGATCTCTCTCTCTCTCTCTCTCTCTCTCTCTGTGTGTGTGTGTGTGTGTGTGTGTTGCTCACTCTCGCTCTTGCTCTCATGTTATTTCTATTTCTTTTCAAATAAAAAACACTTTTAAAAAGTTCTAAAACCAAATGTGTCTTTACAATGTTTAACACTCAGGAGTGGGTATTGTGGTACAGCAGTTTACGCCACTTCTTGGGACACCTGCATCCTATATTGGGATGCCTGTTCATGTCCTGTGTACTTTGCTTCTGTTCCAGCTTTTTGCTAATGCATCCTGGAATAATAGCTGCCACCATACATGAGACCCAGATAAAGTTTCATGTTCCTGGTTTAGGCCTAGATCAGTCACAATGTTGTAGGCATTTGGGGAATGAGCCAGTGGATAGAATTTCTCTCCCTCCCTCCCTCCCTCCCCTCCCCTCCCCATCACTCTATATTTCAAATAGATGAAAATAAACATACAAAGCATTTTAAAAATCACTCATTGTGCTTAACATAAATCCTTGAGAGGCCAGTGTTGTGGTGTACTAGGTAAAAGTGCTGACTGCAATGGCAGAATCCCATACAGGCACTGCTTTGAGTCCTGGATGCTCCACTTCTGATGCAGTTCTCTGCTAATGCACCTAGGAAAGCAGCACAAGATGGTCTAAATACTTGTGTTCCTGCACTCATGTGGAATACCTGGAAGAAGCTCCTTGTTTCTGGCTTTAGAACAAACCAGCTCCAGCTATTGCAGACATTTGGGGAGTGAGCCAGCAGATGAAAGATTGATCTCTGTGTGTCTCCACCTCTCTCTTTCTGTATCTCTACCTTTTAAATAAATAAATAAATACTTCTTTCTTAAAAAGCCTTAAAGACTATTTTGAAAATAATGGGTGATACTTCTCTTACACACCACTTTATATCATATTTTATTTTATTTTATTTGAAACACACCGGGTACTCAAAATGTTCACAAAAAATTATATAAAAGGATAAGCTTATTTTGATGCAAAAAGTTGAAATCCATGAATAGATTTTGTGTGATAGGTATCTGGTAAGAATTTTTAAAATACCCTTTTTAAATTCATTAAGCTCCTCAGAATTGATGTGTCTGTAATTTCAAAAACACTGAGTTAGAGGATTAATACATTTGGTGCTACAGCACTGCCTCCTCCATGCTCAGCAGCCATGCAACTCACAGAAAAGTCCATTGAGCCAAGTCATTTTCTCCCTTGGAATGCATTGGGAGGACGATGTCACAACTATCCTCTGAGATCCTTTCCCTTGTGAGGATCTCATGCTTTGCTTTCAAAGCAGGTCCTTGAGTCCCATGACAGTTCATTTAATCTTACTGGCTTGGAAATGACTCTTCTACTTTACAATAAATTTGCACTTGATCCATTTGTGGATTTCCATCAAAAGTCTTAAGAGGTAGCTCTCTGCTCTTCTGTATTGTTCTGTTAGTAGTGTATTAATATTATTCTGTTAGTGGTGTAATAGTAATTCTGTTAGTAGTGTATTAATGTTTACTGATGGTGGCATCATTTCTCAGCATTTATTAGGTGTTTGTACTTTGCTTTTGGCACAATATTTGCTCATTAAACATTAACCTTCAAAATTGAGGCCAAATCCTCATGGAGTAAAAAGCTGATCTCAATGTCAACAAAGCTCACTCTCTTATGAGACACTCCTGGACTGTTCTTTTTCTCATTTTTATATTTTAAATTAAAACACATACACTACTGAATGGTGAGGATAGAAGGAGACTTGCACACCCAGCTGACACATGGTGGCAGCTGATCTATCTATAGGCATACGGTTCTTTTAATTTTTTTTCACCATTTGTCTCTTTTAGAATAAGTGGTTAGTGTTTTCAGTATATTTGCAAAGGAGTTATCTCCTTAATACATATCAATCCAGAGGGTAGGCCATTTTTATGCTTGATGTCTATCATGCTTGAAACTGTTAAATACATTGCCACTCCTTCACTTTGTTCCCAAATCTTGGTAAAAGAGCTGGCCTGGCTGGTTGTTTTTCCTTCCATACCTCCATGTGGTCCTCAGTCTACTATGTTCTCAACC